ACAATTCTTCAGTCCTTAGTTCATTCTTCACAAAATAACTAATATATAAATATTCAGTAAAAAGATACTCATAAGTTAATAAATATATTGCATAGAATTATGGAATAATGCTGTTAATTTAAAGTTGTTGTTTAAATATTTAAAGGCTTCATTAATTTCTCACTTTTTTTTCACTTGTTACAAAATCGTTACGTTTTGTCGTACGTTGATAGCCCGCCTTAAATATAGCGTTCGGCCCTCTACTGATTTATAACCCTTTTATATAGTCCCCTAAAGTTTTCTAATTGTGCTCGTATGGAGTCTCCACAAACTTTACTACAATTAGCGCACTTATGGGAACTGTGTGTTGATGAGACCGTGTAACTTTATGGTATCGTACACCATACAAAAACTATGAATTTATGATCATAAAATGTTAGCTATACATTTATTTTTTGTGTTAATATTGGAAATGTAAATAGGGATGTTTGCATTTGCATAATGTTTTCTTTTTCTAAAACTTAGCCACAGCTGGCTATCACGGCTGACATGAAAATAAAAGTCAGAGAGCATTTCAAATCAGTGGAAGGTATTGTAGAGCGGCTATAATTCAACTACTAATTACACCATTTAAAAAAAATGTTTTTTAAAAATAGAATACTAATAAAAATAAATTACACCATGATCTAGTTAAACGGGTATGTCTAGACCATTTAAAAAAAATGTTTTTTAAAAATAGAATACTAATAAAAATAAATTACACCATGATCTAGTTAAACGGGTATGTCTAGAGAATACGCTATTCTTTTCTTTTCGATAAATCTCTGTATAGAATGTTTACTGAATATGAAAACAAAATTGCGCAAGATTGTAACAAAATGTACTAATAATTGTCTCTTATATTATTGGTAATTTCATCATACCGCTACCAACCCTTACATACCGCAAAATATTTCCCAGCTAATACCGCAGAGTTGCGATACGTTCGCGAGGTAATTGTTAATAACAGAAAATGATGCGTGACAGTAGCAAGCGATGTTTGTGTGTAACACAGAATTGTACGTACACTGTTCAATCGCATTAGGTTGCCAGATTAAAATATTCTACTAAAATTATAGGTGACATATTATAAGTACAGATATTGTATCCATACTAATATTATAAATGAGAAAATGTTTATGTCCGTTTGTTTCTTACTACTTTACGTCGAAACTGCCGATTGGATCTTAAGAAATTTGGCGTGCAGATAGATTGTATCACGAGGTTGCATATAGTCTATATTTTATCTCAAAAAACACAGATTTAATAATATTTATTTCCTTTTTATCTCCATTTAAAATATCAGATGTGTGTGCGTAATACGCCAGGCATTTCGTTCTGAGAACTTGGCAACACTGCAATTAAATGTGGTAAGCTATCCGCTATAATCTTGGATATTTATTTAAACACAAGTGTTTACCCACTAATGACAGACAACAACTGGTCATAAGCCGACACTTGCGGGCAGCACCTCGTATATTATTAAATACATAGCCTCGGAAATTACAGTTTAGTTATCAACAAATTCTATACACTGGTTATGAATAAATCACTGCAACCCTTTTACTAAGGGAACATAGACAATGTTCGAGAACTTTCTACCATCAATTTTTTTTTTGTATAAACGTTCTGTTATCAATGTATATAATTGCAATAGACCGATGTCTGTACATTATAGGCGATGAAAGAAAACGAATATATTTTTTACCTGTCTGTCAGTCTGTCTGTATGTTTATATACACCCATCGCGCAAAAACTGCATGGAATTGAATACAGTTTTCAACAATTAATTGCTATAGATCTACCTTGAAATATAGGTTCTATTTTACAGCATAACATTATTATTACACGCAAAGCAAGGGGGTTTTATAATAATAAGCAAATTTTTATAATAATAAGTTTTTTTTATAATAATTATTATTATCATCTTTATTACACAACATAACAACATGACAAATAAAAACTAATATAATTCACTAAAACTAATATAATGGCAAAGTATAATTTTTAGGTATAGTTTATATATATAGAATTTTTCTATTATTTTCCATCAAAAATATAAGATATTATATTTTGAGAATGAATCTATATTAGCCGATTGGAATTATGTGAATGAAGCTAGAATTGTGTGGAAGGTACTTTGAGGTTGCCAAAACCCCACATAGCTTAATTCTCTCTTCCTAGCGCTAAACTAATTGAACTATATACGTACTACATGATAGAGAGAGGGTGTGAAACAGATAGATAGAAATACTATTACTTTTTATTTCTAAATATGCTCTGAAAGCTCTATTTAACGTGAAAACCATGTAAATTATAACTCTACACGCTAATTATAGTCCGAATAAATTTATTTAGCGTTTACAAATGACTCAAAACATTAATTAGCGAATGAATTTCATTTAGCGTTTATACTCGTAAGTGAGAGGTTCGTTCTCAGTCTTTAATAAATACCTTACGTCTCCACGATAATTATCGTTATCGTTAATTTGTGACGACAACAAACCTAATATTGACCGTTAATCCACCGTGACCACCGTAGCTTTACGACTAAGTTATATTTATGTGAATGACTGTTTTGTCAAACGCACCATCCATTACGGTCATTAAGTTATCCACTAACTTTTCTACAGTTTAATCTCAGTTTGTGACATAACTGAACGTAATGGTTTTGAAGCGGTTATTAAACGTGTCTCGTACCCAAGTGAGAATCGTAAAAATGATTGAAATCTTTTATAAAGTCTGAATGGTACTTTACGTTGGAAATTAAATGTAGTGAAGCTTCCAGCTCTGTTTTTATGGAGTATGACTCGCCACCTGTTCATCATTATCGAGAATATATACCATAGGTGGTCCATGATATTCAATAGCCATTCAATCCCAAGGTTAGGCATTAGGGTTTTATTATTATTATGCCTACTAATGTTATAATTGCGGAAAGTGATAAAGATTGTTTAATATCTCTAAGTCCATCACACTTAAATACTAAACATGGGACACAGAGAGACTGTGCTTAGAATTAATAAATAACAAGTGCATGACATGGGAATAAACTATAATGACTGTCAATATGAAAATGAAAATCTCATTCATATTTGGAGTAGGTAACATTGGAACAAATAATCACTATTAAATCTATGCAACAACCTATAATAGTTATAAAAAAGAATAGTTCGCAATGCCATTCTTTTTATGTTATAAGATAAGAGAGCTTTTACATGCAAAAAATCATCAAAATTAATCTATACAAACAATTGCTTAAATTATACAAGGAAATTAGTTACACAGCACAAATATTACTTTGTTCCAAGTGAAGCATAGTCTCGTGTCTGAGTGTCAAGTGAGATCAAAGAGATGACTGCATTTACATAATGCCTGACCGCGCATAAGCAATAAATATCTAAATATAAGGGATATGATATGCGATACATACTTAGTTAATAATATAGGCATTAATGCTGAGGAGTTAGTAACACAAATTAATTAAAATAATATAAAAAAATAATTAAAACAATACAAATAACAGTTCAATATTTAATGTTAAAGTAATGTTTGTAACCTTAAATTACAAAAAGCGATTAACTATCAAAGACATAAATCCACTCTGACAAAACAAAGTGGATGACTTTGTCAACAGTATATCTATATGTTAGAGTACAAATTACACATATCTTTTACAATTACATAAAAGGTAAAGTATAAACTTAGAAGGAAAAAATATTACAATGAAGTAGGAGATTTTTAACAATGAGGACACTGGTCGACTTCCTCGCAGTTCCCCCAGAAAAGCATTGTGATGAAGTCAGGTGTGGTGGTCCTGACTTCATCATCATGATGTCATCCTCCACTTGTGCCCCTCTAGCATATACCGTTAGTGCAGACAGATGCATCATCCTATTGTCATACAATAAAAATAATAAATAGTAATAGGTACTTACGCAAAATATTGTAAGCACTATGATTACAATTCACTATTTATTGAATTGTTACAATCTTAAGAAATAGAATATAAATTAAAAACAATTGTTCACAATTACAATTTTGTTCAAAGGATTAGTATAAAATAAGAATTAGTATAGAATACATATTAAGAACGCAAAATATTTTAATATTCATATTGTGAAATTTAACCCTTGTAATAACACAACCCCTTAACTACAGGAAATTGAAAGCTCTATTTCGCCAATACTGAGCTAAAAATGATAAAATACTACAATGAAAAATAGACGCAGCTTAAAAACTCTGCTAGGGACATCTCTATGATATGACATTATTAAATTTATTTTAACATAAAAATACAAATGAAAATATATCTTATAGTCATAGAATTAAGAATTACAATAAAAACAAAATTATTGAAAGTTAAGAACAGTGAGACACGCGACCAAATCACCCCTAATGAAGGGTTGTTATCACCCTAAAGTTAGGGGCTAGTGTATTGTATGGACAAGCGGTTAGTACTTCTCTCTTGATTATTGAGCAATTTGTCGTTGTTGGGTTAAGCTTTTTTAACATTATTATTTGGTGACATGCATATTTTACTATTCGTATCACATATCCAGTCTATACTGAAAATAATTAATATCAAATCAATCATAATTGAAAAGAATAAAAATATGTTCGTATAAATTCCATTATTTATACTTTTGAAGATAAATATGAGTAGACATAAATTAAGCATTTTTTCTTATTGTATAACACAAAACAGTACTTTAAAAGTACAAGTAATAATGACTTGATGATATTTTTCAATTCATAACTGTCTCATCTAAATACATTATAGCAGTCACACAAATAAACAGTTACATCAACTTTATAGCGTTGACAGTCATGTCTGCAGTCATCATATCATTTCGTACACAGTTGTAACTACAAACAGTCATCTAACTCGAAAACAAACCAATGACAACGGGATAACATTTCCCATCGACGGGAACATGCGTGGGGCGGCGTTTTATATAGACAGGGTTTGCGTCCACGAGGCCACTGTCAAACGAGACCTCTTTCTGAGCACACGGCTATTGCCCATCAGTGCTGTGCCGAAATGTTGGTAATGATCGCGTAAAACGTACAGTAATGAGAAGTAGGTGTGGCCGTTCCGAATAACGATAGCACGCCCCCATCTTTTTTTGCCGGCGTCTGGGCGGCGCGAGGAGTACGCCTCATCCTACGCGGTTTATGAACGCACCGCGCGCACCGTACGCGTCCCGAGGTAGATATACCGACGGCGCGACGCCGACGGACACTTTAACATAAACAAACAAGTTTTTATTCGAGGAAAATGCGAAAAAAGTGGTACGAGCCATGTGTGAGACGATTCCAAACGGGAAAACGACACTGTCACATCACAGTGATTTTTTACCAACTGTAATTTATGTTCTGACACATTTATTGAAGTTTCGACGTCAACAAAACAAACAAAAAACGATTGTAATGTAGTGAGCGGACAAATAGAAGTGTGTTAAAAATTTTCGCGGTTAAAAACTAAAGTGCCAACCTTATAGGTACAATGTGCCCGCAGAATAGGGAACTAGTGTTGCCAACATAAGAAGGATGTATAAACCGGTGTGGAAAAAGTACAGAATGCAGAAAAAAATATCAAGGGCTATAGTTTTCATATTGTTTCCTATATTCAATATGGTCAGGTGAGTTTATCTAATAAATTTTAATTAATACTGTAAAAATTACATTTAGATATTTCATCTAATATATAATTTGATGTATTTTATTTAAATTATCAATAGAAACCAAAATATGTAACTATAATATAGTGTCAGCAGGTAGGTAGTTACCAGCTGTGTTTTTTTGAAGTATTATTATTAGTTAGGTGAGATGCTATTAAAGCTATTTCAGCAAATAAACCTTTATGTGAGAATCATAAATACATTAATTGCGAGACGTTTTAAAAGAATATTCATTCCAGCAGCAGTTTGAAGATTGTCATATTAATAATAATAAAATATTGGAATACAATTTTGACAATTAATGACACATATCAAAATAAATAGAAATAGAAATAATCTTTATTCAAATAAACTCATTACAAGCACTTTTGAATAGTCATATTTTGATTCTACCACTCATTCGGAATGCAGATTCATCACAAGAAGAATGAGCAAGAAACTTGTGTGTTGCTCTTTTTAATAGATGTTTTTTTTTATATAAATAATTACAGTATAACAAGTAAGAGGCATGCGATAATCAACATAGAAGTCGCTACGCACTCATTATTAATGTAATCAGATAATATTGTCACTGCTATAGATTTAAAGTTTTTCTATAAAAACATTATTATCGTTAACGAATTCTTCAATTTTATAGTAAGCTTTTTTGCAAAGGAACTGTTTTATTTGACATTTAAATCTTTTTTCTGGCAGATTTATAACAGAAATATGATTCACTGCGTCCTAATGGCTACGATTATGAGGGCTATCGATTTTTTTTTATTTGAGGTTTTTATTTTATTTTTATTGTTTGTAGATAAAGTCAAAAAACTACAATAAGTGGTTTTTTATTGCTACGAGATATTTACAACGAATACTTATTATAGAAGAGTTGTCATATAAATTTTGTCAACCCTATCTCACTGTCAATATAATTGCACAGTTATTTATATTATAACAATAAGCCAACAAGCATCAAACAAATAGGGGGCAGGCATTGAAGAATACGCAATGAACGCGACACCAATCATGCAAAACAGGCATAAGTAGACATCTCACTGAATAATGATACGGTAATGAATGAATAATATTACAGCTACAAATAATCGAGCTTGTGTATCTATACTTATATCATTACTCTGTAGAAATATTACTGGAACAAAATATGGCGACTAAATTTTACTATATACAAGTATATGTGTGGTAATACGTTAAGTAATACGTTTTTATACTTTTATGAGTCTTTTTTACACTTTATTGTGTTTTCTATTTAGAAATTTTGGTTCTATCCCATTGATACTCGATCTATTCGTTGTATCTATCTTCTCTTTAGTACTCTCATCGAATGTACATCTTTATTTTTAACATTTAAGGTGGTGAACTAAAGGTATAAAATACTGGTAAGAATCATTCTCTTACCAGTATTTTAAATAGTCTTGACCTACCCGTAGTCTTGATATGTGTGTAGGTTAGTTATAATGTTAATATAATTTGCTCTACTATACATACAGTTCTCATATACATACTAGTACATATTATTATCTAATCTATTTCAAAGCAACGAATGCTATTTAAGACGTACTTCATTTGAAGGGTCATAAAAGATAGTGATATTATAGAGCAAGGAGACATGGCACATGATATTAATTCTTCGGAGTTTCCATTCCGGAAAAAAAATGTTGTGTCTTTATTTTATACAAATTGTACCAAAAATAAGACTATGCGTATTCCACAGGCGTCACATGATAACGTGATGGCGTTACAACCTTATATTTTTTAGTATATATTAGCGACTTCAAACCTCCACGTGTGCTATCAATGAGTTTGCGTCTCAGTCACATAAAAAATAGCAATTAATGTATTGTCGTAACAAGTGTACACTCAAAGTTGACATTTTAAACGCATAAATATCTGAGATATTCTCCAATCAGATGCAAGTAGGTAATGAGCGACGTAATGGATGGTAATGAATGCAAATTTAAAAGGTGACAATGATTTGTCGGCCCACCCAATAGCTCGTAGATTTACTGGGCATGTTAATGCTCGATATGCCACTGCACGCGGCTGCATAATCGTCGGTCCGTTTGTATCGTGATTGATATTCAGCCTCGATACTACACTCAATGGAACTTCCCCTTCTATATATTGAACTAGCGATCCGTCGCGACTTCGCACGGGTGGACATTTATGTTTAGATATTTACTGTTACCACTTACCATTAGGTGGACCGTCAGCTTGTCTTCCATTTCAATATATAAAAAATAAACAAAAAAAATAAAGGTTAGGTTAATAACCTTTATTTTTTTTTATGTAATTGAAATGGAAGACAAGCTGACGGTCCACCTAATGGTAAGTGGTAACAGTTACCTTTATACCTGCTCAGCACCACGGACATGACTCCATTGACACCATAAATGCGTTGCTATTTCAGAAGAATAATATATTAAGTTTCGCGTCCAGTAATTTCATAACCAGTAATTTACACTGACCTAACGGTTTGTCCTGGCTAATAACCGATGGACATCTCTTTTTTTAATTATTTTGCTTTTATTTTCCGCAGCGCAAGCGATGACAATTATTTAAGTTTTAGTAGAAATGTATTTTTTTTTTCACTGTAATAAGTAAAGTCAATGTTACTCAGGAATAATGTTATAATTTTTGCAATTTTTTTATTTCGATTTAGTAGCTATTCGTTATAAACACGGGTCGTGCTGTTGTGAAAAGTTCACAAGACAAACACAATTTCGCGTCTTTCGCGTCATGTCTTCTTACATAGATTAATTTGAAGTCTAAAGAATAAGGGTTATATCTATATCAAATTCCCTGTTGATTATTTGTTATGAAATGTTTTTTAAATGAGAATAACAACAACATTAAGATAAAAGATCCAAGTCCATATAAAAGATATGTACCTACGTCCTCGTGTGATCATATAGTCTACATATATTCCCATCAAAATTCATTTAGATCTGTTCAAGCTTTTAGCTAAAGGTATCAAACAGATAAACAGACCCACTTTCGCATTGATTAATATTATCAGTATACTTATGGATATATTTTTTTAACAAATAGCATAATTAATGGTCAGAGTAGATATATATCTTACAGATAGTATTCTTTTTTATTGCTTGCTGGTGGAGAGACTACGCAAAGGTCAAATAAAGTAAAAATAAAACCCTAAGAAAAAATAGGACAATAAATCGAGCTGACTTGCGGTGAAACTCTAAATGGAAGCTGTATCCGTAGAAATCGCAATATATCTATTTCACTTAAGGGCCAGACTCATAGATATTATATAATAATATCAAAATGGACTCTTATTTTAGTTTTTGAATTCAATTTATTCATTTGCCACGATTATATTAAATCCCTTTTAATAGCCGGCCTCATTTGTCTAGCGGTTTAATTCCAATGATTGCGAGTTTGATTCTCGCACGATATAAATATTTGTATTCCTGAGTTAATCTACTTTCCTAAGTATATTGCGTATAATAAAAAAGACTATTTCTTTTTTCGTATTTATTTGTTTACTACCCATAGTACAAGTTCTACGTAATTTGGTACTGAATGGCGCTGTGTGGATTGTCGTGGGGTAAAAATAATAATTATAGTGTTGTGATTTTCTTATGGCAATTATTGATTATTCAAAAAATATAATAGAAAGGTAGCAGAAATACAACCATTATTTTTGTTAAAGATACTTTGATACCAGCATTTATATACTATATAATTTGCCAATGGCACCCATTGGTTCAGTCAAATCTTGACATTTTCCTCTGAGCGAGGAAGTTCTTAGTCTTATTCTTAAGGCGAGTGGGCTTGGTACCTATAATATAAATACATATGTCATACTAGTAATTGTATGCAAAAAAAATGTCAATTACGAGTAGATATATATAATACAACAGATCTATGTAATGTAATAGGTAATAAAAAAAATACATATCTGAAATATTTATATATATTTCCACACGGCAGATAAAAATATACTGATAATGTCACCTCTCCTTAATAATACTATATGTATTCGATTTATGCACTTCTTAACACTTATCGAACTAATTGGCTATGTGAGTAACATTTTTAAAGATAACACAATACCACAAATCAGTCCTGTATCTGTTGCTTTCTCGTTGTAGATTATAAATTGAACAAATACGTATTAAATACATATACACATTGTTCATACAAGGAATTTCAATCAGGTTGCAGTGTATTGGCACCATAACGACATAAGTAAATCAGACTACTTTCCAAGTTTGAACTCAATGGTTAATAGAATAGAGCTAGTTTTTTCAAATCACCAGGACACTTACGTCGTTGTAAAGCAAAGTGTTAGAGAAGAGAAAAGTATTTGCAGAATTGTCGGCATGCAGAGAGAAGCAATGCAAGTAGCTGTAATTTGTATTGAAATAACCTCACTGAATGGGTATGTATCGTAGCTTTTCATCAGACCCGTTCCGACATCAGATTTATTATTTTTTGCGTGCTCTTAAAGCAGGGAATTATTGTTTTTGTCTCATCAGCAGGAATTTTTAAAGCAATTATTAAGTTTCACGGCAGGGTTTAATTGGATCAGGGTTTAACAACTCGTATGGGGACGATGTTAGGTGCACTGCAAATGCAGTTAATCCAGCAAAAAACTTTGCAGTTTTCTTAGTTGTCATACGTGACAGTCTATAAATATTTTTAATGAAATACGTTATTTAAAAAGGTATTAAAATATCCTCCTAATATAGCATCTACGTGAATATAGTAAATATTATATTTATAGACAGATATTAAAAAGATAAATTGTTTACTTAAAATAAAAGGACAGCCTATAAAAATTGTAAAACTTACGTAATATTCTCATAGACAAATACATTGTGTCGAATTCTTGGAGTCACCCTGAAAAACAATTCCGGATGAAGTCGAAATGACAAAACAGCAACTAAATACATGAAATTTCCTTGCTCAGTTATAAAAAATATTAAAGATAGATCATTTATTCATAAATTTTTAAAATAATTATATAATTTTTTTTTTAAATGTACATTTCAACTAACGCTAAATTATTATCTAGAAAGTAGGTAACTGAAGGCGCCGCCTTATATGATTACCGACACTTAATAATTTGAACTTTAGGTGTAGTATGACCTCAAGCAACAGTAACAGGTACATAACAAACTGTTATTACACTCATCGTTTCAATTTAGTCACCAACGCTACCATTTACGCGAATAATGATACAACATTCACAGTAATACACGTTTCATTAAAATCATTAAATGAATTACAATTCATCAATTTCATCATTCAAGTTGTCCTTTAATAACACACGGGCATACCACGAGCGTGGGAAAGGGACTTGATAACTTAAACAGTTATGTAAAGACGGAAAACAGTGTTTAACTTGTTTGTTATTGTATTTAGTGTTCCTTCATGAAATGTCGTATTGCCGCATTTAATTGTTAAATATAAATAGGTGAGGCGGAAGACATATGGCCACAGAACGATTACACTGCAATCTAAACGGAAGTTATCGTACCACCTACTTAAGCATCTATAAAAAATACTGAAAAACTTTTTTCTTTATTTTCTCTTCGGAGAAAATTATAACCTATACCTATTAATATGTACATATAAAGTAGAAAAACTCTACGAAATAAAACTGAAATTGTTATCAGTACAATTATTTTTTCTTAGTTATCTTGTTTCAACTAAACTATTTATCTAGGATAGCTATAGCTGAAAGACTTTTCAAAATTATGTTTTTTCGATAATTATCAAAAAATATAATTAATGGTTTTGTATTGTAAACTTAATGGATTTGTATTATTTTGTTTAATTCCGCTACACAGCTCAACACTGAAAGATTGAATTAAATTGAATTGATTGAGTTAAACAAATTAATACAAATCTTTAATAGATTTGTATTAATTTGTAATAAAATGGACTTCTGCAAAATAATATTTATTATTATAAAAATAAATTGTCTAAAAATAACATTATTTAACCACTCTGTTATCTCTACATATATAAGTATATAATATAAAGTAATAAAAAATTGTAATATCAATCTAATTGTCTTCATGTATTTCTGTCCGTACAATGTATAGGTAAACTGGACTTAGGTTAGACATAAGTTGTATTTGACAAATAAACTGACGATTCACTTGTTATAAAGTGGCAAACATAGCCTATACATATACATGAATAACACCACGGTCCTAATTTTATAATATAACGACTCTACTGTGTAGTACTGGACTGTCTGTACTAATTTATAACTACCCAAGCTCTATAATTACTATATTTTACTTATTTTGCCTATGTTTAATAAAATATACTTGAATTCTTAGAATGTATTTATTATATTCGATTATTCGTTCTATTGCTATTCGATTGCATTTCTTAAAATCTATGTCAATTAATATAAATCTTAACACCTGCTCGTAATGCGCAATCTAATCTTATTTTAAATGAATTTATTTAACATAAATAACAAATTAAATAGTTGACAGCGGCTTGTAAATTAATAATTTTGTTGTAACTTACTAACAGTTGCACACTTCATTGTGCATAATTAAGTGTTTGTTAAGTAATATCAAGTTAATGGATATAACAACTATAGTTGCTATAATAAATATTACTTAAAGTATTTGGATAGGTATTCTGTGAAAATGTTTAAAATCTCAACTTATCTCACTCCCTTTACTGTATAAAATATATATCTTTATTATAAAATACAAAAGTACCGCATAGCCAGGCATGGATGATAGAAAAAAAATTAATTGGTTGTAATCAGTATGTTGTTGTTGGTTGTATCCACAAATAATTAGTAGTATCTACTATACTACTAAGAATTCCTACTAGCGACCTCGTAAAGACAAGAGCAGTGATGGACGATGTCTCTATATTTAGAGATGATTTCAAATATTGCCAATGGATGCAAATAAGATATTCATAATAGATGAAATTTGGATATTCATATTAAGCCTGTACAATAGATGAACAATAATAATAAGTAAACGTCACGACTATTAGTACAGATAGGGTAATCAAAGGCTTCGTCAACAATCGATATCGTGGTGAACGCAACACTTGACTTGCCAACATTTCACTGGGTATGGTTGGTATATTTTAATCCAAAATGGTAGAGGGCCGGCCTATTGCCATTTTTCAGATTTTGATGTCTTAATCAGTATTCCCTTCAACGGTTTTTTGATATCGGCCTGATTTGAACTCACGTCTTCGTGTCGGTGTAATAAACAATTATAAGTAACGAGTTATTCCTTCTAGAAGCTCTATTATAAGTATACATATTTCTGAAATAAAGCAGGACACAAATGTCCGAGATTCCATTGTTTCAACTAATATTACGCCACCACCATCCTTCATAAACAATTCTACGGAACACTAAACTTTACACATTAAAATCACACTTGTTTAACCATTTCCTGGTAACTGCTCTCCACTGATAAGGTTTTGTATGTCTCAAAAAAACAAATACACATACAACGCGCCTCAAAGTCCAAGTTTTATTTACCATCAGGGTTAAATAGATGAAGGAATTTACGTCTATGTATTCTATGTTGTTTGTTTAATATATTCATAATAATAATAATAATAATCCAGGACAATTTACATAGCGGCATCTGGTCCCAAGCTAAGCAGAGGTTGTGCTAAGGGTGCTAAATGAGTGATAAAAATACTTAATCCATTTTTTTTTTGTGAATGCACACATAATTACATAGAAAACACCCAGACCGATACAAAAACTCTTACTCATAAATACAAATATTTGCATAGTGCAAGAGATCGAACCTATGACCAACATTTGCAAAGTGGTGAAACCGCTAACCCATCGTGACCATCAAAAATTTTTAGTATAAATTTTGTAATCTATTTTAAGGTTATATTAACTCGACCGGTCTATCGATGTAATTATTTTGAAAGGCCAATTTTCATTATTGAATTCTCTGATTATTATATACAGATACATATTAACTATTATTTATATTCGCATTTTATAAAAATATATGAAATATTGATTTCTTTTAAATTAAAAAATATAGTCTTTATATAGAAAAATAGGTGTGTAAATGATAATTTTTCATCACAATTATTTATAAGTAACTTTTGTCTATAAATCACATCATAATAAGAAGATAAAAATTACAATTCAACTCGGACCTTATTTAGTATTTTTATTTATTTATATACAGGAGTACCACCACGATTTCGTCATAAACGTCTGACAACTTTAAAATTGATTTATTAGGCTAGACAAAGCTGTTTGAACGCGTCAACTACACCTCCAAACATGCAAGAAAAACGTTTCCTATCACCACATCGGTTAACAGTCGCGTAGATCTCATACAGATCTGTGTCGCCAGTCGCTACGTGAGACGAGCCTTTATTATCTGTCACAGTTTCAGCAATGACAGCAACATGGCGACTATTATTTTAAAGATCTAAATTAGAGATTACACCTAATTTACTTTATGTAAATCAATTTTATAATTACCCTTATGGGTATTTATAATACCCTTATGGGTAGAGGATGGCCGAAAAAGAGATGGATGGCCTGCATGAAAGATGATATGGCAAGAAAGAGAGTGACTAACAATATGACTGCGAATAGAGATGAATGGAAAAGAGGAAGTGAGACCAGTTTCGTAGTGTAAATAAAAATTAATATTTTACAGTTATCTACGAGTACAATACTATTAAGATTAGTGCCCTGTTAACATAATTTCACCTCATATTAAAACAATAAAATTCTAACGCTCTTAATTTTTATAGCTCACGCTTAACTATTCTAATATTCTTAAAACTGAAACTATGTATACATAAAATTGAGAAATTATTTCCAGAATTAAGTAAATTTAAATAAATAGAGGGTATAAAGTATTAGAAGCGATCGTAATTTTTTTTTATTCAGCAGTATAAATACACAATCATGATAGTAGATGCCACGATACTATATTCATTTGTAGTGTAACGCGTAAAAAAATATTTAATCACATCCTATAAATATAACTTATGATGGGATTTCAATTGCATGAATCTCTCTTTGAACTTCTAAATATTTAACATAAAGAGAGAACTTCCATCGTCAAACAATACCACTGAGAAATTCCTCGCTCGACTCTCAAAGTCCATTAATTAAAATCCTTCAAAACTTACGAGTTCCGCAGCTGAATACTTTAAAAATATCTGTTTAAACTCGGGAGCTGCTAAACAAATTGTTTCATCCACAAACTATTTCAAACTCGATACCATCAACGCTCAGAATAAATTAATTATAATGACTTTTAATTATAGTAAATAAATGCCCAATTAGTGGCAATATTTTAGAGGAACGTGGACGTTATTGACTTGTTTTGTTGGCAATAAAATGAAATACATCTTGGATAATTTGATAATAATTTTAATCATATTGAATATACTTTCGATATAAGTTACTTAAGCTAATTAATTATCTATACTGAAGTGCATAATAATACTGTCAAAAATATTGTCTGTTTCATTATTTTTTTTATTATCTAGGCTATATGGTTGTTGTAGATATTCAATTTGTTCTAATTATAACAATTTGTTGTGCTTTTATCATAACTAATCATTCTATCAAGTGATGTATATGGGTAGGTACTCATAACTAGGTATATATCATCTATTGATAATACTACCTCTAAAACTTACATGATTAGTCAGAGAAATGTACCACATCAGTAGGTAGGTATTTTCTACTTTCATAGCTCATACTAAAAAGCTAGAACACAAGCTGTTGAAAATGAAAATAAGTTAAGACATGTTTTTATATATATATACGTACATATGTATGTAGTATATCGTGCGTATGATTTTGTATATTTTTTTAAGTGATCCATTAACATAGGCTCTAACATATGTAATACTGTATATTTCAGTTCAAGAGACAACATGCTACCACATCACCTCAAGTTGAATTCAGCTCTAACATGCCGCCTAGTCGGAGGGTTGACCAGAGAACAAAGAACTTTGTGCCATGATCTTCCCGATGCAGCTGCTATAGCATTCGAGGGTCTACAGCTAGCAGTTAAGGAATGTCAACACCAGTTTCGATGGCACAGATGGAACTGTTCAAGTTTATTGGCGAAGAGTTCCAATCCTCATGCTAGCTCAATTATGAAGAGAGGTGAGTTTTTTCATACCATAGTCTCAGAGAATATTATGAATTTGTAATCCAACTGGCCAACAGATTTTCATTTTTTACCACTATATTTGACATGTTTCGGACTTACATATAGGACTATATTTCTAGATAGGAACAAGTACGAAAGTGTCTATCCATAAAAAATTGGACCATAAATGGAGACAATATAAGGAATGCATAAAGTATGCACAAACTAATTCGCAGAGAATTCATTTCCGATACACCGAATTTTAATTATTCCATTTTCTTTTATTATGTTTGTTTAAATCGATCATATAAATATAATATACATATATTATTAATAATAACAAAATCCAACTAGAACTATACGTACTAAACAAATTATAGAAATAATTAAATACATCTTTTTTTAATATATTCATAATATACATAAAAAGACTTCAGTAACACCTATGAAAAATTTAGACCAATAAAAACATTATATCAATACCGAATCCTAGACTATTAAAAAGAAAGAAGTGTCCTAATCGCTAAACCACCAAGGCCGTTAATCCGTCAAATAAAATTCCGGGACGTATTCATAATTTGTAACTTTTTAATAGTTATACTTGATAGCAAATTGACAATCCAAAAAGTTAATTATCGAATTCATAAAAATAACAACTTGGATTTCGATAAAGGTTTATGAAGCTTTATCCGTTAATGGGGGACCACCAAAAATACAATATTACGAAACAAAGTGGTGGCAATCAAACGCCGATGGCAAAACCAGTCCCATGTAATCCCATATAAGAATATATTAAAATAAATGCAACTAAAACCTCAAACCAATCGCGATCAGCCATTACAATCTGAATTTATTACGACGAAAAATTATTCACGCACATTTAAGGCGCACCGGGAATGACAGACGGACGGACACATTCGTAATATACGTATTTACAGAGCCATCTTATTCCTTTATCTACGGGTGTGAAAAGGCTTTGTCAATTTGTTTTTTTTCCACAATCATCGCACACGTTGACGTGTAAATTTACGAGCATAGGAGACAACAAATAATAAGGTTCTTTATGATAGCCAGGTGGGCCCCGCTCCCGCGCCCTGCGATTTCACGCTACGTGTGGGTCCAAGAGGCCCGCCCCCCTTCTCTACCCGCAATCGCATTACCAATTAATATCTTAACTGGAATTACCTCTTCGGAACCAATGCAGTCACTCTATTTTCCAGGCGCACTTTTATTGCTGCACGCGTTTTAATAACATGAAATTCACCTCTTTATGTGTTGTAGCTTTTTACCGATTTCAATATTAACATTTATTGGCAAGGTTATGTGGACGCATTAATGTAATTACGGATTATCTGAACGACGTGGAATACGGCCTCGGAGTTGTTCTGACTAGGATATCTAGTTTTATTAGTTATTAGTAATAACCCGTGACGACACCTTCCGGTCCTTGACGGACACGACTCCGTTTAAATTGAAAAATTGTGAAAAAACAGCGTGGCTAAATACTTAAACATCTTTCTTAACTTGCCCATTGTTGGGGTCCCGAATTGAAACGCCGACGGGAGAATGAAACCAACAAAAAAAAAACATGAAGAACAAATCGAGATGCTTTTAAATAGGATAATAGCGATCGATGATCGAAAGAGAAAGATAATAACGATACCGGGCCGTTGGTTTTTTGTATGAATGTTGGATACATTGATGAAAGAATGCTGTGGACTGATGGCATTCTGGGCAGATCATGAGATTTGTTCCGCTTCCCTGAGATCTTCCACACGTTGTTAGCGCTCTTGTTGTACGTGACTTCGTAACAATACACTCACAATGGCTTAATGACTTTTGTGAGGCTAATGAGCGCATTGTAGATTTTCACCTCCTATTTGATAACCGATGGTGGCTGAGATTAGCGTGGAGACTACTCTCTCAGCCTGGATCACGTGAGAGAATGGCGCGCGTCGGACCAACAGGGTGGCGAACATGCGTCGATACGAATCTGTCGGCGCGGACGCACGTGACATGAATCCACGAGGGGAATGTGTCATAAAAAAGTGACATTTATTGGCGTTTTATATCAACAACGTGTTCACAGGTGACGGAGTACCGACGACAAAATGTGTTTAGGTATGATGCTGCAAAAACGAGATCCGTTTTATGTGATGCTCTTATCTGTCTAAGTGTCGTGGGAAATTCTTCACCGTCAACGATGAGACATCTTTATTATTAAATTTTGCACGATTTTTATTCGGTCTCGTAACATAATGAATTCCACCCAACAATTATTGTAACTCTTTTGGTTATATGTCAAAATATTGTTGCCAAAATTGTAAAGGTGTCTGCATTAGTCGAGAGTCATGGTTCACCTAAAATAACAACTATTAAAGGGATTTAAACAAAAAGTGGACGTGTCGAAATGTCTCAATGCGGTGATGTGCCTCAACCCTCTAATGGCAGCGATAACATCTTCCTCGGTGCGTTACCGAATCGTGCTCCTTCAGATGCCCCTAAACTGTGAGAAAAAACACACAAAAGATCCCATAAAAAACATGAATTTGTCTAAAGTTCCCAGTTTCAAACGTGACATCGAGTGCCTTTTTTGTTTAGCCTTTTTGTACCTTGTCAGATTATAAAGCGCATTTACGAGTTAATTAAGTCGAGAACTATATTAGTGATGTTGCGGAAATTTTATAATAGTATTAGTAATGGAGTGACTGAGTTATATAATTTTGTTGTTTTTTGTTCGTTTAGAGAAAGATTATCATCGTCGTATACGTCAAGTTCATACCATATTTATTTATTTCTTATGCTACTCGTTTTTTATAATTTATTGTGATATACTTATTTCGGTTTTAGTTCGGTTTTGATAATGTAATTGTAACTTATCTACCTATTGTCAGTATCTACTTACAGAGAAAAAAAATAACCTTATTGAATACACAAAGTGAATTCTGAAATTAGTATAAAAAATGTATAAAAATTAGACATTGTGGTAAAGTAACCAAAGTTGTTCCAAAATGTAAAGTAGAACTAGAAAAAAAAATCTATAGTGGTGACTGTAGCACTGATAAACATAATGAAATAACGTTATCATCCAATAATGATGAAAAAAGTCTAGAATTAAAGATTGCTGCTGCTTGCTATAAAACAATGCTGTTTTATAAAACAGTATATAATTACGTTATAGGATATTTTTATGAATATTGTGACTAATAAAATAAGAACACTACAAAACCTGTGTTAAGTATAGAGTAGTTTGTGTAGGTTCTAGTAAGTTTAGGTGACGTTGAAAGCAATGACTGGACAATAACTATGTAATATAACCACATACTTAACCTTGTTACTAATATAATCGTTTAACATACATTTAAAATGACATTTTCAGTTATATGAATTAAGCTATTTATGTCAATTCGTTTAGAATAGAGTTAATACTAGACTTGCTATAATTTAGTCATAGGTAGATTGGACTAAATATATTTAATAAGTTTGCGAATTAACTATAGACTGTACTAACCATCTTTTTGCACAAAGACGAAGAATACTATCAACTTGATCTAAATCCATCTTGGGATGCAATTAAATATGAGATCAATAGGCACCTATATCCATTAAAATTTCTCAAAATGTATGCGTAAAATGCGGTCGTCTGCATACACTCTTGGTTTCGACCAGTGCCTTAATTTGTCGTGGCTGACGTCACAGCCGGTATATCGTCAGGTTTCGGCAATTAGCGATTCGCAACAGCCATACCTCAGGGCTTTGTCCGGACCTTAATTGAAACAAAATATGTATTAACGAACATTTTAAGTGGACTTTTCAAAAACGAATATGAACGGATAAGAGGCAGATATCAAATTGTTTTGTAAAACTTATCGTCAGTACTTCATTTGAAAGTATTTTAATGGCAGGTATTATAAAAAAGACCAATTAGTTTTTTTTATGTAATTAAATTGGCAAACTACACTAGTGTATGTACTATATGTGTATATACTATAGTACGCCTATATATAATACTTACATGAAGTACTACGGATATCACATCATAATATGATGTCCGTACTACCCGTAATACGTTGATATTCCAGGGGACTAAAATATAATACCCTGTAACCTAATTTTCCCTGCCATATCTCACCCTACTACCAAAACATAGCTTCTAGGGAAATTAAATGATCAGAAATAGAAAGATATGGACAACTTTGTAATCAAATAATGCTAAAATACAGTTAGTACAAATGTTCCAATTCTATATAATCTTAAAGTTTAGATGCTATCAGTATTCTACTTTATCTATACATACAAAGTAACATTCTCTTAGGCAGACCCAGGCGATATTATCAATGAAGAAGTGCAAAATATATGTCATTGCACAAAGAGCCTGGAGCATGCAACGGAATTGGTAATAGACCGGCCACATGGCTCGACGAAACTACTTATTTGGAATTGCTTGAAGATGCTTTTAATTTTCCATCGACAATAAATGTCATAGTAGTGTACAACCATTAGATAAATATACATATAGCGTATGGTAAATTAATAATAAGTGTATAATAATATCTGTACATAAGTACCCTCCCCCTTTACTTATGGTATATATACAATGTACTATTATGGAAATAGGGTTTAAGTTTGGGGCTCTCAGGATACTGGGACTGGCACTGGGCCATAAACTGGGCATGGTTTTATAATTCGATGGTGGCAAACAAAGATACGGCCCGTCTGATGGTAAATGGTTACAGTAGCATAAGGAAACTTGAGACACCAGGGTTTTAAGAACCTCAACTCAATTTTTCAGTTTATTAAAAAACATATATTGGTTGTGTTATAAAATTGGCTAATAATGTGGTCACAAAGATACAAATTTGGCTTCTTACACAAGTAGTTATATTTAATATATTTCACTTAATATATTATCACCGAAGAAGTAAGAACAATAATTGTCAATATAAAATTGTAATTTGTAGAAAAATAAAAAAAAATATCACTAAATAACATAGAAAGTACACAAATGACTAAA